TAAACAAATATATAACAAATAATTTTGAACAATATAATCTTTTAAGTTTAAGGCTAGAAATATTATCAATATGATCATTTCCAATCCAGAGATACATGTTCCAATACAGTTCCTATTTTCCATAAATTGTTTTGGTAAGAAGAATATTGCAAATGTGGATACAGTTTCGCTATTCCTCCTCCATGCCATGATATAGTGTTATAATGCATGAGCAGTTATAAATCCATTGCCTTCCTTACTCTAACTTAAGTTTTTTTAGATTTAAATTTATTATTTCAGTAAAAATTTACAGAGACTTTGGATTTCCATTCATTCATTGTTGCACATTTCTCCCCTCTCCCCCACCCCTCCAGAACACTACCCTCTTGGAAAAGTAAAAGAAAAATTCTTTCATTGTTTTGCAAACCCTCCCCCAGGTCCACTCTACCATGTAGCCTTCCTCTAGACTCCTGTCATGCCAAAAATACCTAATCATATATCCCTTTTAAGCAGTTTTCCTCCTGCATCTGTTTCAATGCAGTATACATTATTGAACCCATCTTTCTCAGTCTTTCCCCAACCCCAAGGTGAGTCCTGTTTTACAACAGTGGCACCATGTAGTATTTGTCCTTTTGTGACTGGGCTACTTAGCATATGTTCTCCAGGGTCACCCATTTTGAATAATACTGCATGAGTTCCTTGTTTTTCAACTCAGCATAGTATTCCATTGTTTGAATATACCACAGCTTCTCTATCCATTCATTTGTTGATGGGCACTTAGGTTGTTTCCAGCTCCTTGCTATTGTGAACAAAGCTGCAATAAACATGGGTGTGCTTTTAAAAAAAAAAAAAGATTAAACATTCATTCTTTCCTTGCTGGAACTTTATCAACTGGGAGTGGTCACACTCTTTGTTGCTGATCAGAGGATGCTGGGCTGTTGACGTCATAGGACTTGTTGGGACATGACTTTTACACTCAATCAGAGATGTTGTTAATTTGTAAAGGGAGAGGTAAATGGTTATTTCTTTGGTACTATCTTGAGGAACAGGACTTATTTACAACATAAGGAGACCGTGGTAACAAGCTGAAAGGCCTGGAATTTCTGACCAAGGAGGGAAGGTGTAGCTGCCTTGTTTTCTGGGGAGGAGGGAATCCCAGTTCCTTTAGGGCTGAGCCCACACGTCTCAAGGCTGAACGAGGTCCCTCTCTTTCTCATCCTCAGGGGTCTACAGGGCTATAACATGAGAGGGTTTTCTTCTCTGGCCAGTGGGACCCCCGTCACAGGGTCCCACACAGGAGGGAAGGAGGCCTGCAGGAGGGCACAGGTGACTGGGCTGTTCAGTGGAGTGGACGAGCACCCCTGGGGACTCCTTGTGTCAGCAGCTGCCCGGAGCTTACTCGAGGGGCCGCGACTACATGTTCTGCTCGACCACCGGTTTTGCCGCCTCCGCCTTGCCCTCCCCAGTGCTGCGGCCATTTTTTCTGGATTGCTCTTTAGAAGCAAGAATGACGAGGCTGTGACCCACATAACTTTGGACGGGTTGCTAGGAGAGGCTATTCCTTGGAGAGGGACATGATGTTGGGAAGGACAGAGGGTCAGCGAAGGAGAACCTCAACCAGGTGGACTGACACGATGACTGCTGCAATGGGCTCTTGTGTCAGGAAGTGCGAGGATGGTACAGGACAAGACTGGTTTCAGATCTTTTGTTCATAGGGTTGATTCAATGAAGCCTAACAACGACAACAACAACATTCTAATGGAGGTTTGCAAGGATTATTTCTCATTTTGAGTCATGCTGCACGAGCAGATGAAGAAGCAGTTCTTTCCTGGTTGAGAGTCTTCCATCCTGAAGGGCTAATCTGTCCGCACACAAGCCGGCATATTCTGTTATGATCCGTAAGATTTTCATTGGCTAAGTTTTGGAAGTGGATCACCCAGCTTTTTTTGCTAGTCTGCTTTAATCTGTGACCTACTGGTATTTGAAATACCGGTGCTATAGCTTCCAGCTTCACAGAAGCACACATGTCATTATGGTATGACAAACTGATCGACCAATAGTAGGTCCAGATGGACCTGATAAGTCATTGGCTGAATAAATTGATTAACTGTTGAGTGCATTCTTTATGTCTTAATCACCAAGCCTCTTGGACTGAAATACTACTGGCTGCTGGAAAACTCATTCAGGAGGCCAGCTGTAACCAAGTTCAGCCAATATATCTCTAGGCATGGCTGTTTACATGGTGATTAAAATTGTTATCACTGTTAGCTTTTACCTGTTAATGGGTTCATTGTTCTTTCTCATTTATTTGAGTTTTATAATAATACTATGAGGAAGATAGGACAGAAACTGTTACCCTCATTTTATAGGTTGAGGAAATTGGGTCAGGGAAACTGTAACCCACAAAGCCATGTGGACACTAATAGCAGAACAGGGATGGCACCTCTGATTTCTGTACTCCTGCTCTGGGGCTGAGAAGCTCTTGGCTAACTGGGTTCTGATCTCTCTTTTCTGTAGACTTGGAGCTGATGTCTGTGTCATCCTCCGGCTCTCCGGGCCTCTCAAGGAACAGTATGCTCAGGTAGGTGGTGGCTCTATGGCATCTGCCAGGGCAGGGTGAGTGCAGGTCCTGACTGTGGGTCGCTGTGGCTTCCACTTGTGTCACTGGCAGGGCCTTGGTGACCACTGCTGGCCAGGGTTGGTCAGCTCTTGGTTTGGGGTTTTTTTTTTTTTTGTGAGAAAAATTTATATTTAGAATTAGCCCGCTGTACTCAGTTTAGATGATCCCAATTTTGTTGACAACATCCAAAGTATCATAATCAGGAGCAAGTCGAACATAGGCCTTCGTCTCTCCATCAGGCCTAATCAAAGTGTTGACCTTAGTCACATCAGTGTCATAGAGCTTTACAGCTTTTTTAATTTGGTGCTTGTTGGCCTTGACATCCACAATGAACACAAGTGTGTTGTTATCTTATATCTTCTTCATAGCTGACTCAGTGGTCAGGGGAAATTTGATGATGGCATAGTGGTCAAGCTTGTTTCTCCTGGGGGCGCTTTTCTGGGGGTATTTGGACTGCCTTCGAAGTCTCAGCATCTTAGGCTGCCAGAAGGTGGGTGATGTGCGGATCTTTTTTTTTTGGCTGTGGATGCCCTTCAGGACTGCCTTCTTGGCCTTTAATGCCTTTGCTTTGGCTTCAGTTTTGGGAGGGGTAGGGGCTTCCTTCTTTGCTTTTAGTGCCATCTTCGTAGAAAGGCAGCTCTTGGTTTTCTGTGGCTTTTTCTGCTTAATCTGCTTTCCTTCAGGCCTCACTATGTTCAGGTCACCTTTCTAGAGTAATTTGAAAATTGTGTCCAGGTAAGGACTGTAGGCTTGAGCTGGCAGCTATCGATGTAATATAATTGATTAGTAAGGCCATAGTCTTTGCAATTACTTGGTATACATCAGAGAGCTAGATAATGTACTGGGGATAATACAAGGAGAATTGATGCCTTTGAGCTGTGGTGCTGGAGAAGAGTGTTGACTATACCATGCACTGCCAGGAGAACAAACAGGCTCATCCTAGAGAAAGTGAAACCAAGCTGCTTCTTGGAGGGAAGGATTCTGAGGCTTTATCTGACATACTTTGGGCATGTTGCAAGGAAGGACCAGTCCTTGGAGAGGGACATCATGCTTGGGAGGATGGAGGGATAGTGCAAGAGAATAAAACTCTTGAGATGGGTTGATTTCAGTGATGGGGTAAAAAGTGTGTCAGAGACAATAAGGTTGGTACAGGATAGAGCAGGTTTTAGGGCTGTGGTACACAGGGTCATTATGAGTCGCAAGTGACTCGATGGCACATAACAAAACCAACAAAGTCTGCACATATCCATTAAACTGAAAGAATGTGACATTTCACATGACCTCTCTACCTCCCAGAGTGAACTGATAAAATCTGTGGAATTCTCTCCTTAGAATTTAGTCACATAAATTGTTAAAACTGATTGTTAAATAAACCAGCTCCCTGAAAAAAACAAAGCCACTGCCGTCAGACCAGTCCCGATGCCTGGTGAGCCTGTATTTCAGAGCAGAACCACTGCACAGGGTTTGCAAGTCTGTAAATCTTCATGGTGGCGAGTTTCATACGCTGTGCCCAAGGAGCCGCTGGTGGGCTCCAACTATCGACTGTTTGGTTAGTAGCCAGGTTCTTTAATTCTATGCCACTAGAGTTCCTTGATTGTTAAGTGGAAAAGCCAAAACCAAAAACTACCCCCCAAACAAGAGGTCAGGTAGTATGTATAGAATGCCATAGCTGAATAAATAAAGGGCAACATTATATTTGCACATACAGTCATTTAGTCAAGGATATTTGTGGGGTGTACTTATTGTATAGATGCTTGGGATCTGTAAATGCCGAAGAGGGGGAGTTGAGGATGTGACAGTAGTTGCCTCCAGGGAGGGAAACAGAGATGGGAGAGATTTTTTCATTGCAAACAGATAGATTTCATCTTTTGCATTTTAAACCATGTGAATATTTCAAAAATTAAAAACTGCAAAAAAAACAACAACCCACCCCAAACCGAGAAGCAATTATTCTACTTGAGGCCTAGAACCTTAAGCATCAGGAAGGAAAACTCAAGGACACGATGAGTGTCACCAAATTTGCAGGGACTCAAGGCCAGTACAGACCCCAGGACCTCTTTATCAGCCCCCTAACAGTTAGTTGGCCTACAGCCATGGTCAGCACAGACCCCAGGCCCTCTTTGTCAGCCCCCTGGGTGAGTTGGTCTACAGTTGACCTGTAGGGGTCCGTCTTCTTTTTATAAGATAGCCCTGCCTCCGTGGGAAGCACTCTCTTGTCTTATTGAGATTTTGCCCACGAGCAAGATAGACCTGTGCCCAGGGTGGCACCATGCTGAGGCTGAGGTGGTTGTGGTGAAAAATAGGCTGCTTCTTGTTGTTATTGTATGCTGTTACTATGTACCACAGAGTCAGAACCAACTCATAGCAGACCCTCCAGTGGATTTTCAGAGGCTGTAAATCACATAGGAGTAAGTTGTTTATCCTTCTCCAACAGAGTAGCTAGTGGATTCGAACCATGCTCCTTTGAGTTGGCAGCTCAGCTCCTTATCACTAGGCTGTTGGTTCTAGCTCATAGGGATCCTAAGTGCAACAGAACGAAACATGCCTGGTCCTGTGCAGTTCTCACACTGGGTACTGTTTGACCTCACTGTTGCAGCCACTATGCCAATCCACCTTTGTAAGAGTCTGCCTCTTTTTATTGCTGACCCTCTGTTTTTACCAAGTGTGTTGTCTTTAGTGGCTTTTGATTATTTTTAGCAGCAACTTTCCCCAGATGAAACTGTGTGTCTAAGCTTCTTGTATCTAGTAGGCAGACCAGGGAGAGGAGAGAGGGAGAGAGGCTACTTAGCCTTACCAGTGGGGTCTGGGCACTTCTGTGAACCCCGAGGAGACTGACAGAGTCAGGTTCTCTGGGAAGGGGAGGGCCTAGAAGGTTTTATTCCAAAAATCTCCCTAGGAGGCTCTGATAAGGCCAGTTCTCCCTGGAAGTTCATCATTACTCTGTCCCCCCGTACTCCCATTATAAACCAAAACCTAAATACACTGTCAGTTCACTGTGGGAAATACAACTGACAAATAGACCATCATGGCCTACTCTCATGTGGCCAAGGGTTCAAAAGACACCAGGTTACAAGTGGAATGTGGCTGTAACTTTCATAGGAGGAGGAGATAGGGATCTGAGGAAATAGGTCACCACTTCTCAGATGAAGAAACTGTGTGCCTGGTGGTAGAAGGTCTTTGGCAGTGAGTTAAGGAGGCCTGGAACCTGAAGTGGGTTATAGCTTCCAAACTCCTTCCGATTTTAGAGTCCTCTGGATAGACTTTTTGCCTGTCAGTGTCCCTGCAAGCACCTTCCCAGGGTGGTCAGAGCAGCCCCTACCCTCTGACTGCAGGAGGCTGGCAGGTGGCCTGGGAGTCAGGGCATTGATGCTGTTACTGCAAAGGCGGCACTGGAGGCAGGGCATAGAGAAGGGGGTAAGGAAGGAGCAGGGAAGGGAAATCTCCTGGGCTTTTGGATGGGGGGAAGATGCCAGGAGGACTAGTGACTAGTGGGAGGACATGGAACGCAGTTTTTTCAGCTATCCCACTTTAGTTGAAGGCAAATCCTGTGCCCAGGGGATGCAAACTAATTTCAGGATTAGTTTAAGCCAGAGATAATTGGGAAGACAAAACTGTTGCAAGAGACAAAACCACATCATACACTTCAAAGACAAATTGAAACAATTTCTAGATGATGCTCCAGTTTTCCTCCAGTGGAAGATGACTGGGATTCTTGGTTTCTAGGGTTTTTCCACTTGCGGGTCTCTGTCCTGGATGAAACTTCAGACCTTGTGTTGGCCCCTAGGCTGGGGGAGGGGAGGGCCGGTTCTCCGCCTGGAGACACAGAGGGATTGTGAGGCTTCTGACAACGATTGCATTCTGGGCAGGAGCACAGCCTGGACTTCCAGAGACTCCTGGATGCCAGTTCCTACAAGGAGACCTATCGGAAGGACATGATCCGCTGGGGTGAGGAGAAGCGCCAGGCTGACCCAGGCTTCTTCTGCAGGAAGGTTGTGGAGGGCGTCTCCCAGCCTGTCTGGGTAAGAGGACCCCTTGGCAGCATTCAGGACATGTTTCCCTGTGCTTTTCCTCAAACTGTATCTCAAATGTGCCTATTTCCTCAGCCTCTGCTGTTCCCACCCTGGTTGGAGCCACTGCTCTCCCCTGTGTGGGACAATGCAGGTGCCTCCATGCTGGTTCTTCGTTTATATTTTCACACTTTTTTTGTTCACCACACAGCGGTCAGTGTGTCCAAGCATTTCAGAGTTCTGTTTGGAACTTTTTGGTAGCTTCATCATACTGTTCTTATGAACAAAATCAGGTTCCTTAACATGAACTTCTGGGCTCCTGCTGTCCTCTATCCGCCTCACTTCACTAGAGCTGCAGTGAACTGGCTGTCTCAGTTCCTCCAGGAAATAGGTTCCTTCCAGAACAGAGTTGTGGTGATTTCTTGCACCCACCTGCACTACTCTTTCTCCCTTTCTTCACCTGGTTAGCTCCCCTCAGCTTAAAAGCCATTTCCCGAGAAGCGGTCCCTGACACCCAGGTCTTGATGAGTGCTCTCTGTGAGGTGCTCCGTCACACCCTGCCTTTGGTCTTCATTCATTCTGGATGGAAGTATTGGCTGAGTGGCCCCCTGTGCCAAGCATGACATTACCTCAATAGCTGGGACTGGAGTTGGGGAGATAGGTACTAAATAAATAAACATAAGCTTTGTCAGTCAACCAGTCTGTGACTTTTAAGTCTGTTTGCGCTTGAGGGCTTTAGGGATGTGAGAAAGCTGCTGGACCAGTGGCCTTTCGTTGTGTTGTGCATCTTGTGTCTGTACTGGGAACCTACCCAAAGCACCTAATTACAGAACAAGGGTGAGATGGTTGTAGACACGCCCTGTGATTTCACGGTCATCTGTGAAGCTCCTGCTTCTATCTCACTGGGTTATAAGCTCCACGGGGGTGAGGGCCAGGCAGGCTTTGCTCACCATCCAATTCCCAGCACACAGCACAGCCCTGACACACAGCAGGTCCCTGCAACCCTAGGTTAGTAAGTGGGTGGATGAACATGTCAGCAGCATTGTGAGAATAGCAAGTCTTACTGATTGAGCAGACATACACTACTGAGTGGCTGTCACATGTCTGACACTGTTTTAGGGGCCAGGGATGCAGCAGTGATTAAGACGAAGTCCTTTGCCCATGGGACTGGCTTGGATAGGGCAGACAGAAAATAAGTAGCAAGAAGTCGTGATTTCAGAGCCAATAGGAAGCAAGCAGCTTAGTGAAGTTGAGAGGGACAGGAAGGGAAGGCCTCCCTGAGCAGATGGCCATACAGTGAGGGGGCTTAGCTTGTGATGATTCAGCAGAAGGGGCTGAGTCACTTCAGCGCCACTGAGTCACTTTCACCTTTTAGAGACCCTGTGCACAGCGGACGGCACACTGTCCCGCCCAGCGCCACAATCATTGCTGTGTTTGAGCCCATTGCCACAGCTGCCGTGTGGGAGTGTGGAAGGTCTGCTGAGATCTTTCCACCGTGGGGACACTACTGGCATTTGAGATACCAGTCGTGTAGCCGCCAGCACCACCAGATCTACCCCAGTAGGATAGACTGCCAGGCGAGTGGTGGGCAGAGAGAGGGATGTTGATGTTAGTCTCCATAGAGTCGGAACTGACTCTTAGCTGACTCTCCTGCAGGCAGAGAAGGTAGCAAGTGCACAGGCCCCGAGGAAGGGATATGGCTGGTGCCTTTGAGAAGTGGCAGGGAGGTCAGCTGGCTGCAGCGGAGCAGATGCCGGACGAGGAGGGAGAGTAAGAGGGCAGGTCTCATAGGGCCTCACCAGCCAGTATGAGTTTTCGATTTTTATCTTATTTTATTTGCATGGGAAGCCTTTGTGAGCTTTAGGGAAGGAGAATGAAGAAAATTAGACTTATATTTTAAAAAGTGCCAGGAGTTGAGACCTCATTGGGGTGTCTTTCATTCTGGCCTCAGTTTACCCATGTGCAAAGGAGCAGGTTGGACTGCTGGGTCTGAATCCAGATCCTGAGTCTCTTTTCGAGCAGAGTGAGCGCAATACCAGCATGGACAGGACATGTGTGTGTCCTCGGCAGACACAGGTGGGCAGAGCCGGTGTGACTGCCGAGGTCCAGGCAGCAGCCTGGAGGACGTGGGTGCCGCTGGCCAAGCTGCTGAGGCCGATGGGGTGGGCTGCTCTGCTCTCGGCCCCACAGCCCCTGTGCTTCTGCTGCTTCAGGGCAGGGCTGGGACTGTCCCTCTTCTTCCCTCACCCTTAAAACCTTGCACCGAATCCTGCTGGTCATCTGTCTCTGTCCCTCCCTATAGCTGGTGAGTGACACACGGCGGCTGTCTGACATCCAGTGGTTCCAGGAAGCCTATGGGGCTGTGACACAGGTAGTCCGCGTGGTGGCCTCAGAGCAGAGCCGACAGCAGCGTGGCTGGGTGTTCACGCCAGGTGAGCTCCTTACAACCTTTGTCCCCCAAGAGCTTGACTCACTGACTGGTCACCACATTTACAGGGTACAGGCCACCCAATCCACATCCCTGGGTTTCCTGCTCCCTCCCTAGCTTGCCTGAGTACAATTGTGAATGAGGGATTATGAAAGAGAATCTGAGGCAGGGACTCAGGAATGAGGTCCATGGCAGGTAAAGACCACTTGACCTTAGTCTGGGTCCTTTACCTGGGCAGCTGGATTTCCAGCTGGGATCTACCCCCTTGGCCCTTCACCTCTGCTTTCCAGCCCAGGAAAGCAGAGGGCCGAGGTTAGGCAGAGGGCAGGTTTGACAGGTGTGTGACTCACATGATTATAGTGAGTTTATAGTGGCTACACGTGATGCCTGGCCAGCATCTCTGTGGATGACTCAGGTACACTCCACCCTCCCTGCTGTCCCAGGACACCTAGTGGGCACTGCCACTTCAGCAGCTCCCCTCCAGGGCACTCATCACAGCCAGGGAATCATATCCAAGCAGACCCTGTGGGTGCATGCTTTTCTTACCAGTGACAGTGGCTGGGTGAGGAGATCACCTTACAAAGGTCACAAAGAGGGGAGAGGCATTGCTGCCATTTTCAACCCTCTGTTTCCTACTGTTACATGCTCTGCTTTCTGCAAGAATGGAATCAGATTCAGATTCAGGAATAGAAGTTGGCAAATCAACTTCACACAGAATGAACTTGGCAGTGCCCTATGGGGTTGTCTGTGCTTTTGGCTGGCTTAATTAATTCTCTGCCACGTGTTGCTGTGATGTGGAACAGGCTTCAGGGGAGCTTCCCAGCTAAGACAGACTAGGAAGAAAGGCCTAATGATCTTCTGATAATCAGCCAGTAATCTTCTGGTAATCTGTAACCCCAGGGGTTACGGCAGTCCAGTTCTGCTGGGCCTGGGCTTGCTGTGAATCAGGGGCTGACCCGATGGCAGGTGGCAGCAGTCTGCTCTCTATGGGCAAATGAAGCATGAAGTCAGCAGGGCCTTCTGTGGTCCATTGAACCTGCCCTCACAGTGTTTCGGGGGCTGGGGATTGCCCTCTGTGATGGGGGCTTGGTCTGGCTGGGGGAAGAGCAGTATAGGGAGGGCCTCGCTTGTCTTCATTTGTTTGGAGGAATGGGCCTGACCTCACATGCTTCCCCTGCAGGAGTGGACGATGCTGAGTCAGAATGCGGCCTGGACACCTTTGGAGCCTTTGACTGGGTCATCGAGAACCATGGAAATGAACAACACCTGGAGGAGCAGCTCAAGAACCTGATAAAATTTATTCACACCAGACTCTAGGGGGCAAATTCTAGGTGTCAGCCGGGGTGACGGGACGGGCTGACTGCAGGATCCAGGGTGCCGATGCTGCCAAGAGGGCCCGAGTGGAGATTTCTGGAATCTGGAAGGTTTCAGGCGTTGTTTACCTGTGAAGGGGACAGCCATGCAGGGTCAGCAGGAGAACTTAGAAGGTGAACTGGCAGGCTTGCAGTAAGACATTCCTATCTCTGTGGATGCCAGGCCTTTTGGGGTTGAGGGGGCTGCAGTGGTTCTTTATCTGAGCAAGAGCCTGAGGGTCCTCAGCATGGATGGTAATAAAACCTCCTTGGAGCCTGTACTCAGAGCTCGATGTCTCTAATTTTCCAAACGCCAACCTGACTTCAGAAGGAGTTTGGTGTCAGGGGTCTCCTGCTCTGCCTCCCTCCTGAGCTGAATTGTTGGCAGAGGCTGACTTTTGCCTGTTCTCTGCAGGCAGCGTTGAGAGTGTGATTGGTGACTATATTAGTTTCTTAGTGCTGCTGTAACAAAATCCATACGTGAATGTCTTTTATGAACAGACCCCATTTTCTCACAGCTCAGGAGGTGAGACATCAGCCTCAGGGCACCAGCTCCAGTGGAGGGGTCTGTCAGCACTGGAGGAAGTTCTTTGTCTCTTTCAGCCTCTGGTTCTTGCCTCCTTGTGTGGAAACTCTCTTCATTTGCTTTTGCTTCAATGTCCAATCTGCTCTTTTTATATCTTAGAAGTGACTGGATTAAGACACCCTCTATTCTGATTTAGCCCTAACATGACAAAGAAAATCCTATTTTTAGTTGGGATTACATCTATATGTATAGTGCCTGGGATTTATAACACATTTTTGGGTGACACAATTTAATCCGTAACACGGCTGAGGATCTTATCTCTTGGAGTGGCTTCAAGAAAGGCTCAGCACTTTGCGGAAATCTCTGCCACAAGTACCCAGAGTGTCGCAGCGGGGTAGGATAGAGGGGTGTGGGCAGCAGGGATGGGGTGGATTTCCAGTAACCATTGTGTGATCCAGGGCAAGTCACATCACCATTGTGAGTCTTGGGTTTCCTCAAGGGCACTTTGGACCTGACCCTTCTTATTTATATCACATACTCACATTTTGCTATTGAGTCAGAACCAACTCCTATCGGACCTTCCAGTGGGTCTCTAAAGTTATAAATCACATGACAATAGATTGCCTGTCTTACTCTCAAGCCACTGGTGAATTTGAAACACAGACACTGAGCAGCTCCCTGTAGACTACACCGCCGGAGATCTTTATATCTGGTATATTGTAATTGCCATTGAGTTGGAACTGAGGCTGTAAATCGCACAGAAGGAGATTTCCCATCTTTCTCCCATGAAGCAGCTGATAGATTTGAACCACATGCCTTTGAGATGGCCTACCCACTAGGCCACCAGAACTCCCTCTTATTTATATGTTGTTGTTAATATTAAGTATCACTGAGTTGGAATTAACCTGTAGCAGACCCTTGAGCCGGTTTTCAGAGGTGGTAAATCGCATGGGAGGAGATTGCACATCCATCTCCTACAGAACAGAGCACAGCAGCTGGTGGTTTTGAACTGTGTGCCTTGGGGTTAGCAGGATAGCTCCTTACCACTAAGCCACTGGTATGCAGGTTTTAACACACTTGTCAACTATGAAGTGAGGGTTTGAGACCACCCTGAGGCTTCTTGTAAGAAAGGCCTGGGTATCTGCTCCTGAAAGTTCATTTCTAAAAGACCATGGAAAATCTCTGGAGCACACAAAGTTCAACTCTGACATGACGTCACCCTGACTCGGGGCTGACTTGATGGCAATGGGTTGTTTTGGTTACAAATTCCAAGTTTCTGCCACCTTGTGGAATAGACAGGGAGGCCGTTTTCATCTACATTTTGCAGATGCCAAGAACTGAGATAAAAGAAGCACGTTGCTTAGGGCTAGAAGTCTCAGCATCCAGAGCAGAGCATGGTGCTGCCTCCAGGGCCGCAGCCACATTCCTTTGGCAAATTCCCAAGGCTCTGTGTCTCCTTGTCCCCCTCAGGCCACACCAAAGCACCCAAATCTTCTGGCTCTGGTTTCCTTCTCCCACTGACTCTGTGAGTTCTCATCGATAAGGAGACAGTCAACAGAATGACATCAGCTTCAGTGTGACTCAGATCAGACTGCACCTTGCTGCCCTGACCTGCTCTTCCGTAGGCTGCCTTTCCCACACTGGTTCCCCTGTTCTCCCGGTTAGCCAGGGCGGACGGCGTGGAGCATCTCTCACTACCACACCCAGTCACCTAGTTCTCTTGACTCTGTCTTCTCTGTAGCTTCTTCTGAACTCTCCCTGGAAGATAAATGCCCTAATTCCATGACGAGTCAGCCTGTGGTGGTATCGTCAGCTCCTGGAGCCATCTTGCTTCTGGTGGTGCTCACAGAATGGATGTGGTTGGGCGCTCGGTGAACAGTACACAGTACACAGGAATCCAGCAGGTGATCGTTATGTGCAGCTGTTTCCTCACTACAGCCCACAGGGTCCCACCCAGCTCCCATGCTGGGTCCCCAAGCACAGACGCTCCCTTCCTCCAGTGTTGTACTAGTTTCGCTGATGCCCTAGCTCAGGGTGGTTCAGTCAGAAACAAGGTTGAAAACCACTGACATTCCATCAGCTTCCAGCAGAACTGCCTTTTTCAACCTTTCTCACTTCTTCCTTAGAACCTTTTCCTCTTAAATTGTTTTTACTTTGGTGAGCATACATGTAAAGATCTATTTTTTTAACAGTTTCTACATGTACAATTCAGTGAGATGATTGTTATTGTTGTGTGCCATCCAGTCTCCTGTGACCCATAGTAACCTTATGTACAGCAGCTCTGAAGCCTGCCCTGTCCTGAGCCCGTCTCACAGATTCCAACACACCAACCCCCATTGCCCCAATTACTGTATTAATTCATCTCACGTAGGGTCTTCCTCACCTGTGCTGTCCTTCCACCTTTTCGAGCATGATGTCTTTCTCCAAAGACCCTCCTGGCCATGTGCCCACATAGTATGTGAGATGGAGCTTCAAAATCCTAACCTCAAAGGAGAAACATGGTTTTACACTCTCCAAGACAGATATATTTGTTTTCTTGGTGGTCCATGGTATGTTCAGTACTCTTCTCCAGCAACAACTCAAAGGCATCAATTCTTCTTTTGTCATCCTTTAGCGGAGCAAGTGACTGCAAAGACCATGGTCTGGGCAATGGCATGATTCCATTCTTCAAGTTGTGCATCCAGGTTATTCCACCTTCACCATCTTAAACTCACTGACCCCCTAAGCTGCCCATCTGACCTTTTGAGTTGGCACTATGATCTCACACATAGATAATTCTTTATAAGAGCATAATGCTCAAAGCAGATATACTATCCTAATTAAAGGGAACTCCTTTTAAATTAAAAAAAGAATTCGGGGTAGTTGAGGTGTAAGGTTTAAGTTTAAAGGTCATCTTGGCATTAGTTTAGAGTTCTGTTGAAACAGTTCCTGTTGAGTTGGTTGCTGGGAATCTTATGGATGCTCATCTCTTGGACTCTTGAGTTCTCCTTGTTTCTCTCAAACCTTCAGTAGTTTCCTGCCAGTCTCTAGCCAGACACATACAATCTAGAGTTCATGGCCTGCTGTACCTCCTTGGCCTTGTCTGCGCATCTGTGCTCACTCTCCTTCCTACACTGCCCTGCTTTGCTCACAGGACTCTGGTTCCCCCACCGCCGTGCCTGGGCTCAACCCACCTGCCCTCTACCCACGCCACCCATACTGCACAGGTGACTGCACTCTGCCCCGTGACACAAACGCCACCTTTGTGAAGCCATCCTGCTCCTGCCCCACCCACCCACAGCAGGCTCTCCGTCAACTCCCAGAGTGCTGAACGTGTCTCTTATGACAGGTTCCACCTTGGCCTTGTGTTCACCTGTCTGCCCGCTGGCCTGGGAGTTCCTCGAGGCCAGAGACCACATCTGACTCATTCATTGCTACCTCCACAGAGTTCACACACTACACCTTTGTGAAAGGAACACTACTCCCTTTCCCCTTTAAAAATAAAAAAAAAAAATCCTCAAACATTTGGGTCCAAATGAAGGTTTATTTGATTTCTCTGCAGTGCTTTTCCCTGGGCTGAGGACAAATGGAGAAAGTAGTACAGCTTAGGGGTCAAAAGTGTAGGCTCTATGACAAGGCAGAGCTGGGCTCAAATCCACTCTCTCAGCTAATAATTTGTGACCCCAGCTGGGTGAGTGGTAACACCTTCTCTGAGTTTATTTGCTCAGCTTTCCACCTGAACATGTGTGACGGCCGAGACAGGTGTGTAAGAACACCAGTACGGTGCTGGAGTGAAGTGAGCACATCAGGGGAGTTGAGTGCTGCTGTTGTCTGCTTTCATTTGTTCAAAATATCTCTGCAGAGGCTGCCCTTGGGGAACCCCTGTCTCAAGGCACAATTCCAAAGAACAGCAAGAAAACCCGACACCCTTTAAAAAAATTGAAATTATAAAAACTAGAGCAGAAATAAATAGAATAGAAAACAGAAAAACGAAGCTATCAACAAAACTAGGAGCTGGTTCTTTGAAAAGGTCAACAAAATCGATAAACCACTAGCAAAACTCACAAAAGGCACAATTCCAATAGTTGCCCCTGGATTCTTGCCAACTGGAGTCCCCTCTGACATCCAGGCTCCTCTCAGAGACCTGAGGAGAGGTCATCTTTGACCCTCATTCCCCCGTTACTGCTGTCTCATCCCAGGCTGGTGACCAGAGTTTTTACTTCATATTCACCACATTCAGCTGAGTGACTCGGATTGTTTTCAAGAACTACAAAAAGAATCTCTTGCTCCAGGGTCACTCCTGAGGAGATGCTCCAAGCAGTAGTGGCAGTGCACCCCGGGACACCTGTACACGCAGGCCTGGGGCTGAGGGAAACAGCCTCCTTCCTGAGAGACCCACAGAGTGGGCTGTGCCACAGACTCATATTCCCAGATACTTGGAGGTGGACAACTGTACCCGT